TCATGGCATTATGTAAAGGTACAATTCCCAATGAGAAATGTAATTGTGTTGTATACCTACAATGTACCAATAAAAGAATTTAATTTAAAAAAAGATTAATTATCATGGTTACTTCTCATTTGGCAATTAGGGGTAAGGATTGGGAAGGAAAAGAAATGTATGATAATCAGTGGTAAAAGACCAAAATGAGACATACACATTATTGATTCTGCATACAAGGCCCCCAATTTACTGATTCTTGGCCAACCAACCACCTCTGACTGACGGATCATAACATAAAAGTGGAATTAGATCCAGCGTCTACCAGAGCTCCAAGTTCTGCAATGACATGCTCAATGATGTCATAGAGGAGTTACCCTTAGGATCCTATAATTAATAAGAGATAGCTACAGTGATCCACCTGAATCAACAGGAGAGTTTCATCAGTAATTCCCAGGTGTAAATCATGGTGCAGATTATTAAAGACACGGCAAGTATTCATTTGGCTTCATTGACTATTTCAAAAGTGACCACCTTGAGAATAGATTTAAGAAATTTTAGACATTATTTCCTCCACTCTGTATTCCTTTATTGGTCTGAAGCAAGGGTAGACCTTTTAATTCTTGCTCTTCATGTTGTTCCTGGAGATATGGCACTATCTAAAGAGGTAGACAAGGGGTAATGGATCTAAAAGGATTTTTTTTTCCTGATTGATTCTTATTTCTTGCTCTGAGGGTCTAGGCCAGATTCTAACATATCCTGACCTGAATCTGATCCCATAGATTCTGTCTTCATTGTACCTTGGAAATTCTATGGAAGTAAGAGAGTCTGCATTGTTCCTTTTATGATAGGAAAGAAAGCAGAAAACTCAGATGTGTCTATGAAATGGAGTAGGAAAAATGATCTCAGTAATAGCAACAATTCCTTGGGTAGATTTTTATAAAGCCATTACCTAATGTTACTGTTACAACAAATCTAAAGTTGCATCTTAGGTATAGATCATTCTTTATAAAGAAGAAAATTGCCTCTAAAAAAGAGAGGTTAAAGGCCTTCCTCGTGGGCATTGGAATCCAGACAACAAATGCCAGGCTTCACTGGAGAGGCTGAGAGCTGAGGGGCCTTGGAGGGCACAGGGTTTGAGTTCACATCCTCTGGCCCTCAGATTTGGACTTCGACCATTTTTCTCAAATGTACCCATATATAAGGTCACAAAAGCAATATTAACTACATTAAAAGAAAGCATTACCTTTGATATATGAAATCATTTTTAATGTTTCTAATGTTTTAGGCACATCTTTCTTAAATTATCTGGGCATCTCACAGGATAACCAAGGAAGGCATTACTCCTCTGAGAAACATTTTCCTCCCCAGAGACCTTTCCTAAGGGCTACTGTCTCTTTCTCATTGTTATGAGGTATGACCAAAATATACAGTGAAGTTAAATTTTAAATTCAATGTTTAAATTTAAACAATTTAAATAGTGTTTAAATATTCTTAAATATATCACAGTAAAGGATACATTGCTATTACTCTCTCTCAAAATAGCCCCCTCACACTTCAAACATACTTATCCTATGATCCTTGCCACTTTCTGAAGCAGTTCTGGAAGTCGTCTTTCATGAGTGTTTCTAGTTGAGCTGTCGTGGCTGCCTCAAGGTCATGATTCAATTCAAAATGACAACATGATTCATAGTCATTTTGACTTTGCGAAGGAGCCAGGAGTCACCTGGTGTCAGATCCATTGAATAAGGTGGGTGAGGACACACTATTATATTTTTACAAGCCTGGCTTTCTGTTGGCACTCAGCCACATCATTTCGCTATACTTTTTTTTAAAAATTCTTTTATTGGTGCATTTTAGGTATACAGCACGTTTATATTTCTCATTGAGAACTTGTACCTTTTACATGATGCATCTTGGTTCTTATTTTTTCCCCATTCCTAGACCTCCCTTCACCCCCTCCACCCTTCCCTATTTACAAAGACTTTATTTCCATTTTTTCCATTTCTCATCATTTTT